ATAGATTACAGTGGTCCAATTTGCAGCTATTTTGGGAATGGCATAGAACCCACAGCATTTCAGTTGTGCATGGGGATTACATGAGTTGGGGACTAACATGACAATAGCAATTAAAAACAACAATTTAACCATAGATAGTAAGATAGTAAGTACTCAGTAAGTTGTAGGTGCTGCAATTGTTGTCATTGTTGAACAGGAAATAACTTGTACTATGCAAGTCAAAAAGGTCTTTAAAAAAATCTCATTGAATTTTTGTGCAGCACTATCATGATTTCTGACTTCCACCATTCCTGTCCAAAGCCAATGAGTTAAGCTGAAGTCAAATATATCTGTTCTCATGTTTTGCACTCTCTGAAAGGAAAACCTTGAAAAACTGAGCCCTGAGTACTTGGAATGAAGTTCTTCTCTTTTGATCCTCAGGGGATTCATGACACCTGGACCAGAGGGGCACTGTTAGTGCCCCTGAAGGCTGCCACCATGACCAACTAACTGCACATTTTCATGGCCCTGTGTTGAAATGCATTCCCCCAAATAAACAGTATCTGCCCAAGGGATAGAAGTTCTTGGGATAATTACCAAGGACAAGGAGAAGAAAAGAGAACTAACATTTTAAAAGCCTTCTTAACTGTTTGCCAGCTTTGCTGCCAAATGCTTTGTATTCATTGTCTATATAATCCTCAAGACAATTCTATAGGGAAATTTTTTTGTGTGTGTATGCCACTGAGTCCATTTGGACTCATAGGACCTAGAGTAGGGCTGTCCCATAGAGTTTTATAGGCTTTATGTGAGCACATCATCAATTCTTTTCTCCCTTGAAGTGGCTTGTGGATTCAAACCCCCGACCTTTCATTTGGCAGCCAAGTGCTTAATCATTGTGCCACCAGGGAAGTGTCCTCCTAAAATAAGCATGCAGCCATGGCTTCCATGTATTAGGTGACATTTGCCATAGAACTATGATAGGAACCAAAGAGTAGTTAACTCCTAGCCTGGGCTTTTTACAGTATGTCTTCTACTTGTTCTGACCCCAAAATAAATAGAATGTAATCTTTTCAGATGAAGAGCTGTGTTCCTATTTCCTCTCTGACCTGTCACCTCTAGTTTAATATGTAATAGAGAAATAACCTGAATATGCTGGTATGAAAACTTGTCTGTGATAACCGAGTGGCTTTGCACTGGTACCAAGCTGAATTCCTCAAGTGAGTAATCTCTCTTTTAAATGCCCGTATGTTTTCCAGTGGTTACAAGACTTGACAGGACCTAACTTTGAAATGACTGAAGCACTCTTGGCAGCATTTAGTCAGCTCCCTGAAGTGGAGCTTCATCCTTAACCCAGCACAAGCAGTCTATGGAGCTGCAGAAGAGCCAGCTGCTTCTGCTCAGTGTCCCTAGAATACCTTGCCCTGGGGGAAAACAAGCTGTGGAGGGTAACAGGATCTCAGGGTCCTAAGCTTGTATGTGTGTCTGTCCATTTGTCTACCTGTCTGAGGACTTGTCACCACCAGCACAAACCATGCTCAGTCTGAACTATAGTATCCAGGAATGGAAGCCGGATTTGCATACTCATCTACCTGCTGCTAGCATTTCTTCCCAAGATCTTTGTCTTCTCAATCTCACACCCGATGCTCTGTATTAAATAGGAGGGACTGTATAAGATGTTTTCCTGTAGACTTTTTTTTTTTAAATCCATAAAACATCCTGTATATAAAGAAATGAAGCATCAAACTCAGTACGTTTAAAAACCAAGCTGAAAATTGTGACAGCAAGTCACCATTTCTATCTATTAAATGGGAGCATGACTTAATAGTTGCAGCTAGGTGGATTTTGTAAACTATTCTGTACTTTTATGTTTAAGAGACCTGTAAGTATATTACCTAAAAATCAAAGTTACCCTTTTTTTAATTGTGAATTATGTGGGTTTACATGGAGAACATCAGTCTTACATATATCAGTTTTACATATTTCATTTCATTGTAATGATTATAATCCCCTCCATGCATCACCAAATAACCAAAGGGTATACCACACAGGTCCGCCCCTCCCCCCGGGCCATCAGCACACAGCCCTTTTCCCTCCCTGAGTCCAGTGTCCCCAGCCACTCCATCTGTCCACATCATCGTTCATCTCTGTCTTCATCCCTGGCGTCACTGCCTCTCTGGGTAGGGTCATGCTCTCCGTTCTTCTCACCTGATGGTCCTAGGGACCTCTGCTCTTGGGCTGCAAAATCAGTCACTCCCTCCCTTTTGTCAAAAAACATCTACCTGTACATTTCTGACCCTCATAGTCAGTCCTGATGGCAATTATTCGCTATTGTACCACAAGAGTCTTATACCCATTTTCTTTCGCCAGCCTGGTCCCAGTGGATTGGAAATCAAAATGTAACCCATTTAAACCCCTCCCCCCCTTTTAGTACAGTAGAATTGGAACAAGATCTGAAGTTTGCATTTGTCTGGAGGGAAAGAAGTGAGGAAGAGTAGAATACAGGACTGGCCTGGAGAAGCTTTCATTAGGTCTTGTTGTGTGTGCAGAGCGTGGGTCAGAACCTCTTTCTCCTTTTAATGTGCACGTTTTTACTGAAATGGAGCCCCAGAGTAAGATACTGCTCACTCATGAAGGCACATTCTGAGCTCTGTGTGTGCCCCATCCCTTCACTGTTGTTTTCATTTTCCTCTCATGAACCTTGCTACCCTGGCTTCAGCACAGAGGCTGTAAAGGAAGATGGAGAGCCGAGTTACCTCAGAATGATCACTATCGTTAACATTCACGGGTGGTTCACTTATCATTCCTGACTGCACAGACATGGCAGCCGCTCGGAAGCGTCCGCAGGTGTAGCATGGTGATACATATTACATTGTGCCACAATGGATTTATGTATTCTGTAACAAAAGAAAAGTGTAATGAAAAAATACAGAAGGTAATCCTTTATTCTTCCACCACACAATTTATCAGTAATGCCTGTGGATGATAAGTGCCAGGGATTTCCTCTGCTTGCTTTAACCTTGTCACCCAGGTACATTTTGGTAAAATGACAGAAAAATACAGACTAGGATTTTCCTCTGTTCAAAAATTCTTTTAAAAGGACACATTTAATTTATGAAAGTTAGTCCAAACACAAGACTTCCTTTTGAGCTTTTAGTTTGCCATTTGCTGAGAAAGAACTATTGGCCTGATACAGTGCTGTCAGCCAGCGGCAGATTAGGAGAGAATGTAAGCAATTTATAATCAGACTCAAATCTAAAATAGTTCAGGTGGAACCCAGATAGATGGGTGTTCATGAGGTCTAGGCTCACTAGTTTGTGAGTGCCCTAGAAGTTGTGTTCCCTTCTAGATCCCCCTCATCCATTGCCCAACATACTGTCACAGATGGAACACATACTGACTTCTGAGGAGAAAGCAGAGGAAGGCAAATCTGAACGTGGATGATTGGAATTTGTTCCAAACATACACTGGCCAAGCGCCAAAGCAAATACCCCAAGTTTATAAATGCAGAAGGCACTTTACATTTTGGGGCTCTTGCCAAAGTATCACTTACTGCATCACTCCCTAAATATAGTTTGTTTTTTTGTTTGTGGTTTTTTTTTTTTTTTTTAAGAGCTATTTCATATTCTGCTTTGATCAGTAAAATAAACTTTTAAAGATTGTTCTGGGATGTGGTCCAGCTTCTGAGGTAAAGAACGGCCAGGGCTCAAGCATGATTCAGTAACAGAGTGTTCAGTAAAATTAGCCTGACAGTTCTCAGGCCTGCTGTTCGATAGCAAGAACTTGACCAAGTTAAAATGAATGATTGAGCTAGCCAGACCAGCTCAGTTTTTGCTTTATAACAAATGGAATGTCAAGGATTAAATAGCACACGGTATGGAGTAGAGAGGTGTGGCGATGTCTCTGTATTAAGGAAGCAAATTGTGTCCTTGGTTTTTAGATCAGCCCCCAGCTCCTGTGGAGAGCCAGCCACCTGCTTGGGTCCAGTATAGGCTTGAGGCCCCTTCCCAGCCCAGCTTACCATTAGGAAGCTTTTCCAGGGCTTAGCTTGAGGCTTGGCTTTTCTTTCAGATTTCTTGTCAGTATGAAGTTCTGCCATAATTTTTGGCCATGTTCCCCTTTGAGATTCTTATGGGGAAATGGGAATGTGACCAAACTCCTTGCAGCAATTCCCATGTTCCATAGTTGGAAACTTGGGTCCTGTTTGTTATATAAGCTATTTGGAATTGGCCTGTTTTGTTCTAGTGCCCAACTGTAGTGAGTAAAATTTGTGATACTGCTATTGCAATTAACAGTCTTAGTGAAATTATACCTTACCCTGGAGTCTGGCTTCTGTTTTTAAGATACTTATACTTTAGCTTTTGTTTTGTGGGAGGGTTTTTTGTTGTTGTTATTTTTTCTATTTAGATAAAGTCCCTCCCCAGTTGAATTGGCTAGAAGTTTTCACATAGTGTTAGTATTTTGCCTTATAATTATGTTTGCTTTAGTTGATGCATTGTCTGACTTTATAGGGCTAAGTAGAATAAAGTGTATATTGACTACATTTCAAATATATATTTTTAGGACCTTGTCCTTATTCTAAATTGCTTGGGTTGTCATTTCTCCCCAACTTTCTATGATGTGTTCCTGGGGCTCTATGAGCTTTAATTTGAGGGTAATATACGCCTGCATGACATCTGCTGAAATGAGCCAAGTTTGATGGTCAACTCTTGCTGTAGGATTTGTCTTGGGAGCCAACACTAGGAAACCCATGGTAATTTTAATCTGTACTTGTTAGACCACTTAGGTTCAATTTGAGATAAATTAAAACCTTCCTTAATCCCAATCCTCCTTTCATTCAGAATTCCTAGTACTAAAATGCCTCTTTTTTTTCTCTCTCACAGCTACAAGTAGGTTTATTTAACCTACATTTAAATATTGGCACTTTGATGCATACTTAATTTTAAACTTTCTTAAACACAATGAATAATGATCTTTCTTTGGTTGAATGTTAGTGATAATTTAATATTTTTCTTTTCCTACAGAAACGCTGCTCATGGATTCTCCCTGATTCAGGTGGACAACACAAAAGTCACCATGAAAGATATCTTGCTAAAGGCAGTGAAGAGAAGGAAAGGATCCCAGAAAATTTCAGGTGGGACAAGTCAATCAAACATTGGCAATAGAAGCTTATTCACTAGTTAAAAATGCATGTATTTTGTGTGTATGTATTACGTGTATTTGATGGCTGGCAGATGTTTCAGATATTATTGCTAGAAGGTTTGGATAGCAGATCTACAGAAAAAAATAAAATAAAAAAGAAGATTTTAAGCTGCCCCTGTGTCCAAGGAATATATGGCATATGTGAGAAGCTTATGTTTGTATCAGTTATAGAAGCCCTCTCATTAAGGATTTGTGGTGAGCTAAGACAGAGCTACTTACAACTTCTTGGTGTACATGTGTCTTGAAAATGGAATCAGTCCCAAACTTGGAGTATTATTTTTCATTTTATATTTTCACATAATTTTCCATGTGAAAATTTAGTTGCTAGTGTTTGAGGACTGGAAGACAAAGAGAAAAAAAATTCTTTTAGTATTTTTCCAAATGAGGGCAACCTTAAAAGAGAGAGAAAGAGAAATCACTTAATGTGCATAAATACCTAACGCTTCATTACAGTACTTTATATAGAAAATAGGCTTATGGCATTGTGATAGTTAAAGGATATAAGAAATAAATATTACTGATACCGAGAAATAATTATTTTGAGAACTAACTCAAAGATTTGTCATACCGCAAACAATTTTAGTATAAACTGACCTATATGTGATGTACCAAATACCTTAGCTTTGTAAATAAATGAGACAACTTAAACACATTTGGTTTCACCTTTTGAAGAGAAAAAATAAAAAGCACTGCTCAGGTTAAAGAAAATAGTTTTGTGTTCTTTTTAAAGGGAGGCATATAATTTGTTCCAGATTTAATTAGGTATCTTCAAATGAAAGCTGAAGTTTTAATAAAAGTTAGAAGAGATAACACAGTGAAGGACACGGATGAGCTGTCTCAAGGCCATATTCCAGGGGAACGATAAGAGCTGTAAAAAATGGCAGAGGAGAGCAATTGAATGGAGCAATGAAAATCTGATTCTCATAAAAAAGAGAGAGAGACAGAGATGCTGGTAGGGGCGGTTGTAGATGAGACCTGCTAGCGTCTGCAAGCAATTTGGATGCTTGCCAGGAGTCATTGTTCACCCTCGGCTGTGGCGGCTCCGTCCAGATGTGCCAACTGCACGTTTCGGCTTTTGCCAGCTGACTGCGCCGTTTGATAACCAGCTCTCTGGATGCCCATCACTGGCCGCAGAGATAGAATTAAATGATGATGATCTTCCCACAAGTTGGGGGAGGAAACAATGCATATAAATCTTGATTTCATCTCAGCATGAGAAGTCTTTATCCATCATCACTCATAATGAACAAGTCGTTAGCTGGGATGAATGGTGTTCTGGTTTTTCCAAACACCTCTTTTGTTCATTTTTTGGGTGACTTTTCTCCACAGTGTGGGGGTCAAACCTCTTTGCACTTAGTGAGTGATTGAAGAAGCATCTATTTTCCTTCTCAGGGGAAAGTAGATATTTTGGGGTTCTAGGTACCAAATGAATAGCTTATTAAACAGCTTCAGCTACTCAAAGCTATTTAATAGGCATTGATCTTTTCAGATCCTGTTACTATTTTCTGGTTTTGTCCTTAAATTTTTTATGTAGTGGTGTGTTTTGTGATATAATTCATTCTATTCTAAGTACGTATTATTCTGAATTGTCAGAGGAGGAGATGTAATTTTCTTAACCTTCTTAGAAATTCTGTTGTCACAGATTTTATTATTATTTTTTAAGACTATGAAATACCTGTGAATGTACTAGGATACGGCTGAGCCAGTGTCTTTCCTCTTGTTTCCAGCTATTTCTGTCCAGTTGCATACCTGTTTATTTTGTCCATCCCCAGCAACCACATTCATCACACACATTTATTATGTTCACATTTGAGTACACATCCCTGCCATTTCCATCAGTCTTTGCCATAGCCTTGGCAGAGAGTTAGGACTTATCCCGAGAAACAATAATGGACCTTATTTATTCTTTTTCATAGTGTTGTGGCTTGCTGTTGAGTCGATTCCAACCTACAGCGACCCTATAGGACAGATTAGAACAGCCCCACAAGTTTTCCTGGGCTGTAATCTTTATGGCAGCAGATCACCAGGTTTTTTTTCTCCCAGGGAAGGTTAGTGGATTTGAATAACTGACCTTTCTGTTAGCAGCAGAGAGGCTTAACCATTATGTCACCAGGGCTCCTTCTTTTTATACTAGAGAAGCCAATTGAGATTGATGAATTTACATAAATTATGATTCATTTTTTAATCCAAAAAGCTTATTAAAATAAATTCTTCCTATTGCCATATTAGGAGTCCTGGTGTGACACTGTAGGATAAGCACTGGACTTCTAACCAATGGCTAGCAGTTCACACCCACCTCCTCAAAAACCCTATACAGGGTTGTTATGGGTCAGACCAACTTGACAGCACTTAAAAATAAACAACATTGTCGTATTAAGTGTGGTTTTATGAAATAGAAGGAGTCTAGTTTAACAAAGGTTTTTGATTAAGGTTAGGTTAATAAAGGCTGGGTATTTTGTGTTTTTTTACTTTTCTTGTAGATTAGACTTTTGGAAGGTGATTAATGAAAAGAGGAAACATTTCTTCTTGTCATAGAGGGAAATACAAGTACATTTATCAGAAATTATACTCAGAGTTGGCTATGAAATACTTGTCATTGACACATGAATTTAGTGGCTGGAGATGCCAGGTTAGAGGCATTGTCATTCTCAACTTCCTGAGTGTCTACCATAATGACCTGCTTAGTCTTTCTGAGAAGTTTCCTACCATGCCTCATGTCTGGGATAGAATTAGAAAGTGCTCAGTCCTCTCTTCAAGCAACTTTTCTCTCATTTAAATGTAGAATAATGCTTGTATCCTTTCAACTCTTTAAAGAGAAGGGAAAACTACCACTTGAAATGAAACATGACATATTGAGTTGAGAGTTCTCTCATTATTTATTCAGTAAAGGTTAGTTGTACTAGAACAAGATTTCAGAACTCCTTTGATCAGCTGACAGTGCAGTTCTATTTGTACCCACAAACCTTTAACTTCTCTCATCTCCCCACCCCCAAACTGACCACACAACTTTTTGAAACTAATAATGCATTCGAATTTAAGGTCCTAGTGTTTACAATAGTCTATTGACCTTCCCTCTGGTGCTTCAGCTCAAATTTTTATTTGTAAAAAGATTAGAAAGTAGTTGTTCGATTGAACGAAAGAAATCCTTGTTCAGTAAATAGCTTTGTCAATGGTTTTATAATATTTTTGCTTTTTATAGATAGAACATCATTGCAGATAATTGCAACTGTATTTTGGCTTGTATTAGTTGTAATTGTTTCATCAAGTCATAACTATTTATGACCACTGCAGTGTTTGATTCTGTGTTTTTTGTTGTTGTTTTTCTGGTAATATTTATCCACTGAACTGTAGTAATCTCTTCACAGTATGCCCCAGTCAGTTCTCTCCTTTCTTAGAGCCCATTTTAAAATGTCTCTTTTAAAGTTTCTTTCTGGCTTTTCATTTTATTACTGACATAGTTGACATTTGGAATGTATGTACATTAACATAAAATTCCCAATGCTTTGCGAAAACTACAAATGGAGAATTCAGTTTCAGAATTAGATGGAACCTCTTTACTAACTTTAATAGTCAAGTTTGGGTATGTTTTTTACAGAGTAAACAGTAGCCTGTCAGGTCCCTTGATTTAGCCAGTGAAGCATTCTAGACTGTTATTTAGTGACTTAGTTTATCGAGTGTCCCCTCTGTCAAGGTTATCCTTCATGATTTTGTTATTATTGCTTACAGATGCTATTGCCATCACTGAACTTTACATGTTAAAAAATGTTGAAATGTCCATTTTTTTGTCATACAGATGTATAAACATATAAATGTGTATACACATATCTTTATTCCCATGAAGATTGAAAATCTCAGGAACACATGTATATGTTGTTGCTAAGTGCTGTCAAGTTGGTTCTGACCCATAGTGACCCTTGCGGCTCAAACTAATCTGAGGTCTAGCGCTAATCCTATAACATCAGATTGCCCCTACACACATGTATGTGTGTGTATGTATTTTTAAGAATTAATATCCTCAAAACTGATGTTTCCCACCAGCCGTTACCAGCCTCCTGAAGTATGCTGGAAACGACAGAAGCACTATTGAGAAATAGAAGCAGCTCCAGTTTCAGTTTTCACATTGACACAGAAATCTTGATCTACAAAACAGAGAAGACTTCAAAGTGGGATTTACCAAGCAGAATTATTTTCTACATTGCTTTATTTCGGTATTGCTTCTCACTGTGAAATGGAGCTGTTTTCTCTATAATCTGCTAAAACGTTGAACAGAAGCAATTAACTTATTTTAAATCCCTGTCTAGGATAAGCACTAGAGTGCTAACCGCAAGGTCACCAATTCAAACCCACCAGCCATTCCTTAGAAACCCTATACAGGGTTGCCATGAGTGGGAACTGACACAATGGAACTTAACAACGTCAACATTCTTGCCTTTTAATGCTAAAGACAATTTTTTTTTTTAAATTAATTTGAAGATCCTTTTTGAAAAGCCTGTGGCACTCATTCCTGCTGCTGATTGTTGTTGTTGTTGTTAAGTACTCTCCAGTTGATTCTGACCCATAGCGACCCTGTATAGTGTTTCCGAGGAGCAGCTGGTGAGCTTGAACCACTGACCTTGCAGTTCAATGGCTTTGCAGTCTGGTGCATTAACCCACAGTGCCACATCAGGACTCCTGCTGCTGATTAGTGCCGTGATATTTGTTCCTACTCATAGCGACCCTGTATAAGTTTTCTGAAGTGGATTTGAACTGCCCACCTTGTAGTTCAAACCAATCTTGTAGTCCAAACTTCACCTAAAACTTGAAAGTAAATGTTAGTTTTGTCACATATACTCCTTCTAACATCTCTGAGTCTCGAGTATCTTTATTGCTTGCAAATACGTTACAATATCCTAAAGGATTTCTAAGAGTAGAGGAGTGAACATCTACCATAGG